CTGTATCAAACAAATAAAACAAAGCAAAGCAAAAAAACAAAAACAAAAAGAAATGTTCTAGTCTAAATTGAGATGTGTTAAGGTAGTATTAAAAAAAAGAATGTCAAGTATCTCAATACTTTTTATATTACTTATTGAAATAATATTTTGGATAGGGTTAAATAAAACATATTAATGAGAACTACACCTTTCCTTTTCAAACTTTTCAATATGGCTATTAGAATAGTTAGAATTATACAAGTGGCTTGCATTTTTAAAAATTTATTTCTTTTTTAAGTTTTGGGGTGCATGTGCAGGAAGTACAGGTTTGTCACACAGGGAAACGTGTGCCAGCTTACATGATATTTCTGCCTGAAGCCCTTCACCCTTGCAAGACTCCTCACATTTACAACAGTGATGACAGTGATGCTCTAGAATCTTGGGAAAAGTCACGGACTCCCTACGGTATAAGGCACAGGGAACCTAAACCACTTTCTCCAGATATTAAAGAAAAGGATGATTCCAGAACGTTGGGACACATAATAGTAGCCATTGCCAGATTAAGTGTGAGAAAATACAAATATATAAGGATAGATGACTGGCTCATTTATTTTAGTAACATTTTGTTAAATTGAAAAATAATTCCTACAAATAGCAAGTATTCTTAAAATGGAATTTAATTTAAACAAAAACTCGACTCTTCAAGAACACATTTATAGCATGAAACAAGATATATGATACAACTTTCCAAGATGAGGAATTTACATTTGGTCCTTAGAATTAAACTAAAGGAGAAAAAAAGCAAGGGAGCTTTCACCCCACAGGGGATAAATGAATGTCTATTCTAACACCTCGATGTATTGAACAGTGAGTGCCCAGATCTGAGTCTACTACTCCATACTTTCAAGTAGAAATATAAAATATAGAGAGAGCTGGGCGTGGTGGCTCACACCTGTAATCCCAGCACTTTGGGATGCTGAGGCAGGAGAATCCCTTGAGATTAGGAGTCCAAGACCAGCCTGGCCAACATGATGAAACCCCGTCTCTACTAAAACACAAAACAAAACAAAACAAAACAAAAACACAACAATTAGCTGGGCATAGTGGCAGGTGCCTGTAATCCCAGCTACTTGGGAGGCTAAGCCAGGAGAATTGCTTGAACCCAGGAGGCAGAGGTTGCAGTGAGCTGAGATCGCACCACCGCACTCTAGCCTGGCAACAGAGTGAGACTCCATCTCAAATAAATAGATAAATAATAAAATAGAATAAATAAAATAAAATATATATGTGACTGTAGTCGTTTATGGATTGTATTTATTTCACACCAAATCTATCCTTTGAGTCATGTCGCAATAAATTTATGAGAAAAAATAAAAATACAATGCTGACTCCAAGTTAGCTAAAGTGGATATAACCAGAAAACATTTTTTTTCTCTGACCTACCCATTAAGAAGCTCTGATTGGGGGTCTATATTAATATACACTTATCTGGTATATGGAATCTGCAAACTTCAGACCTGGGATGATGTAAGTTTCATATGGTCTAGTCTCCTTATTTTACAGATAAGGACACTGAGCCACAGAGAGACAAGTAACTTGTCCACAATCAGCTGCTTAATGGCAAGGCAGGACTCAAGCCACACAACGTGACAGCACAGCACCCTGGGTGTAACCTTGATATTTCCTCATAGCCAACTTGGGTTGGGTGAAAACTGGGGTTTATCATACTTACTCACAGGGGTTTTCAGGAGGATTAAATAATCCCTCTCTGAGATATGGACACAGCATGTCATGCATTGAGCACTGAGCTCATTTGAGGCAGTTAAGCTCATACCCTCCCCTCTTTCCACCTTCTTGCCCTAGCTACACATGCTAGCATTCTTTCTCCTGAAAACTTTACCTTCAGTGTAAGGAACAGCTGTGGACTCCAGGAAAGCGCTCCCTCCTCCTTTATTCATGTATTTCGTGGTCACTAGGAAGACTGGAATCTACCTGAGAGCCCCCCTGGCCGTGGATGGATGGCTTAGGATGACAATGCTGAGTCTTTGTGATGTAAGACACTCAAAACAAAACACAGTTTCCAGAAATGAAGGTGCTTCCAGGCAGGGCATAGGAATGAGGGTGCTTACCCCAGGCAGGGCACAGAGTAAATTTACAGAGTGCTCTCCGAGTCTCGTCTGCCTTCCTTCTCTGACATCCTTGAACCACATCTTGAGCTACCCGGACATGCCCTCAGCCCAAGTAACCTAGTTATCAAAAAAACACACAAAACCATTCTTCTTCCTTTTCTTCCCCAGTTGGCCACGCCCTGGCTCTGAAATAACAGGTTGGCGTATTTCATACAAAGATGCCAATCTTTGTAAACCCCAAAAGGTAGGCTTGTTAATGGAAATCGACACCAAACTGGTAGCTTCTTGGATGGGAGGTCTTTTTCTGCTTGGAGGTC